TTACATACATATTGCTTATAAGTATTGTTTTCAATCTTTTTAAGTAATATAGAAAAAACTTTTAAAATGATTTATTTATTCTTTATAAGTAAGAGATGAAAACATACAATGAACAAATGTGTAATGCTTCTGTTTTGTCATAAAAAAAAACAATGTAGACATGCATTATGAAAGAGTGAAGAAAAAAAAGAAGTTAAACATAATAGAGGTGAAAAAAGAACCAAGAATAAATATAAAATAGGATGAGTTACATACATAATCGAATGAAAAACAGGAAATATTAAGGTAGGAACAAAAATTGAACATTGAATGAATTTCTCTTTTGATTCTTCTAATAGATTAAAAGCGAACGAAGAAACATAGATTACTGGTCATATAACAGAAAAAAAAAGAAAGACGAATTGGTATCTATGACATAATATTGTTTTTAAAATATGCGATCACACTTTGATAAGCTTCATTCTAGTAGACATTATACTCATATTTAATAAGGAAAATAGTTGTTATATATAAAATTAATTCAATGAATAATACTCATCGAGTAGATACGTTATGTAATAATTATATAATGACATTTCGATTATAAATTAACATTGAGTAATTGGAAGAAAGAGGATTAATAATAAAGTAATTTCACTGATTGAAATCATGAGTCAATTGAAGCTAGACCTCTATGGAAAACCTGGAAGTACTGGACGGCCGTTTCGTCCTAGTATGGGACTCCTCAACAGTGCACATCCACGATCCCGCACCCCGCGAGATTCGAACCCAGGACCTGTTAGTCGAAGCGGTCGTGCAGTGCTTCTAGGTTTTTCATGGTGGTCAATTGACTCATAATTTCAATCGCTGAAATTTCTAAAAATTTCCACGAAACCCCTTCTGACAATAAAGTAATTATTTGAAAATTAAGCAGTTGCTATGTTGCATTATATATATATATTTTTTCATGAATGGTCAGCAGTATATTAGTTATGTAGGAATCAAGAGACGAATGTTGAGAATAAGCAAAATACAAAAAAAATGGAAGAAATACGAAAATAGTTTGTTCAATTTCTGCTACAAACTCCCGTATACCAATGGCCAAGGTAGTGAGAGTGATTGTACAGACTTCTTTTGGATGCAAAGATTAGGTTTGTGAACATAGATTGCAATGGTTTCAACAATGTGCAAAATATGCTGAATCCATTGCAATTCATGTTCACAAACCTAACCTTTGCATCCGAAAGAAGTTTGTACAACAATTTTCGCTACTTTGACATCGGTATACGGGAGTTTGTAGCAGAAATTGAACAAACTATTTTCGTATTTCTTCCATTTTTGTTTTTTGAACTTTGTATTTCACTTATTCTCAACATTCATCTCTTGATTCTCACATAACTACTATTCTACTGACCATTCATCAAAATATTCTGTTCCTTCTCTTTTTCATACATTATACAACGTAGCAACTGCTTGATTTTCGAATGATTACTTTGATTATCATTATTATTAATCCTCTTTCTTCTAATTACTCAATGTTAATTTATAATCGAAATGTCATCATGTAATTCAATAAATATTAAGAAATAGGAAGTTCTAGTTAACTGATTTATCTATTTAGATTTCATATGATTGCCTATGTCCTGAATTTTAAACAAGATAGTCATAGATTAGATTTTAAAGAAGATTGTAGATATTGACAATACTGATTATAGATATTAATAAGAAGGTTAAACTTGACAAATTCACTTGGTAATGTTTACTTGAATTTTCTCATTAATATTTAGGACTGCAATTGCTCAGTCTCTTATTGGCATATGTGCATACTATGCGTATTGCCTCGATATTTCCTTAATCCACAAGCATTATAAGCAAAGATGAATAGTGGCTAGCAGTGAATGTAGGTTCATCCAACTAACGAGTCTTAAGTAGTAAGAAACGCGTGTCTTGGATTCTACTGCTAGTCACTATTCATATTTGCTTATAATGCTTGTTGAATTTGATAGATTTAAATAAATACTGATTATGTTCACTTAAACGCCGAATTCCGCTGACAGTGAAAATAATTTCAAATACATCATTGAAGTTACCTATATTTTCAGTGCAAAATACTTACGATATTTTATTCAGAAGGATTTATTTTCTTTAGGAGTTTTGAGTTGTTCCAACGATTATGAAATGTAAGTTATTAATTCACTTAAAGAAAGTATAATCATGTTTTTAAAAAAAAACGTATCATTCTTGTTTTAAAGCAACATTAAAAAGAATGTTCATGGCCATTGGCATAGATATATATACAAAACATGACTTTTAACTTCTTTGAATAGATGAAATATAGCTAGCAGTGTAATCATGGTCACGTGTTTCACCCAATTCAGGACTCATCAGCTGGACGTACCAGTATCCCAGTTTTGACGTTCATATTCCAACACATATTCAAACTATGAGTGATCAAAAATGCAGTCCTTAATATCAATAACGGAATAATTCAAAACCTTACTAATAATGATATAAATATCATACTTTTGAATAAATTAGTAGCTATTTGAACTTAGTAGTTCAGTGGATAACGTATTAGGAGTTTGAAGTTAAAGATCTGAATCTAAACATCTCCACCTGGATGGATGTACACTCAGTTAACGAGTCCTGATTAAGACAAGAAAACATCCTGAATTCCACTGGTACACACAAGTCATCCATTCTAAATAACTGGTGACACAAAATTCATTATTATCAAGGTAGTTGCACTAGATGTAAATATGCCAACGAAGATTGATCGAAATTTCATCGTGAATATTAGTAAACAGATAACTAAAATCATTACTAATAGTGACATAAACTTATAATTAGGTTTCTTTCATGTCAAGTGTTTCATAGATAAAAAATTGTTTTGGTTACTGGATCATAATATTATTGTCTAGTTATTAAGTTTCCTGCCATCCCATTAACAGCTACTAGTGATCGACCAAAATTAATCCACCGCTTATGAGTACGCTTTAGATTTGATTCATATTTCGTATACTGAAATATCGTAAGCCCATATCAAATTTCCTGAATGAATTCAGTACTATAACAAATGAATCATTTTAAAATACTTGAATTTCATCAAAACTTTCAGCTTAAAACTCTACCATCAAGTTTATTATGAGATATTCATGTCATCACTATTAACCTGTGAAAGTAATTCAAGAAATTGAACCCATTTGTTAATTTTATTTAGTGCTTTTCAAAATCATTCTTTTACTTGAATGTTTTCATTATCTCGATAATGTAATAAGAAGACGAAGATTATCAGAGCTATGTGATATATTAACGTAATACATTTCAGAATTACATTGCAGAAACAAATAGAATCAAATGACCATATAATTGAAACAGGCCATAAGACTGATCATAACTCGGCTTTTGTGATGCTGTATAAAAGTGTAAAAGAGCGTATACTAAAGTTTACTGAAGCCTTAGCCATACGAAAATTCAAACCCCCTTTGTGTATTCAAAAACAGTTTGTTCTCACTTTAAACCTACCCTGGTAATATTGGCTTATCCAGAGTGATAAGGTATTAAATTGTGTTCACATTATTATTATTACTCTTATTAGTATCCTTGTCTCCTCTTACCCCATTTCCAGTCTAGTTAACCTTTTATATTTTTTATATATAAATGTTCTTAACAAATATATGTGTGATCAGATTGTTCGAAATGTACTACACTAATATATCACCACATAGTTCTGATAATTTTCGTCCTCTTATTACATTATCGAAATTTATCAAAGGGACTAATTGTTTTAAGTTTTCATCATTGATCTTCATTTTGTGAAAATTTCTATAAATGAGAATAGTTAATGAAATAATTCACTTCAGTAGGATCTCTGATCAGTTCATTGAATTATTCAGACAAATCAATACATTATAATTTAAAAACTCCTATAGAATATTTAAGAATCAAGAGCGTACCATAAGTTTTCTTCAACGATAACGTCTACATCTGGATTTACAATTAGAAATCCGAAATTATTATTTTGTTGCAACAGAAATAATGTTAAAATTCAATAAGTGATAATAACACATTCATATTAAGGTTCTGACTTAAATGTCTTTTATGAAACTGTAATACATATATCATACAAGACTTTATACCATCTTAGATAATCTTCATTATTCTCCTAAAAGACTATATCATTCAATGATTAAAAACTATCCACTAAATATCATTCATGAATAAAATAAGTTTTCCCCATTTTCATGCAATGTTAGAGTATCTATGTTATTATTTTAAACATCTATAAATGAGTTCATTTGATATTATTTACTTGAATCCTCCTATTGATGTTTAATACTGCAATTGATTAATCTCTTATTAGTATATGTTCATACTGTGCGTATTGCCTCGATTTTGCCTTAATTCATAAGCATTATATGAAAAAACGGATAGTGGCTAGCAGTGAAATCCAGGACTTGTGTTTCGTCCTATTTTGGACTCATCAGCTGGATGTGCCTGTACCCCATTGTAAAAGCAAGTGGCTATCAGGACTCAGTAGCTAAGTGGATAACCCGATGGCGTTTAAAGCCAACAGTACTGAGTTTGAGTACCAGAGTGAACAACAACTCTGAAATACAGGTACATCCAGCTGACGAGTCCCAAACAAGACGAAATGCGCATCCTAGATTCCATAGTTAGCTACTATCCATCTTTTCTTATCTACAAATGAGGTTTAAAATATCTTTGTAGTTTTAATACCTTTTCAAAAGCTAATTTTTCATTCTTACAATTTTTAACATCAACTTAAGTTTATTGCATACAGTCATTCTAAAGATCATATTCAGATGAACTTCGAACACTCTATTTATGAAAAATGCAAGTTATAAAGTTCTACAAACATAAAACATCAACACCAAGTTATAAGTTTTTATTCGGTTATAGAATCCAAAGATTGTATTGTCAAGTTACTCATGTTGTTTACATAAAATCTACCCAGTGGAATTCTGTTAGTCTTAATATTGATTAAATATTACATGTATTTATAGAATAATGAAACAAACTGTACATTTAAAGAAATTTTATGTCTAATTAAAGAATATATACGTCAAGTAGAAATCAGCTTTCATACTATACTTGATTATTATTCCTGTAAGAGTGGAAATATTCAAGATTAAATAAATTATTGAATATAGGATATATATATATCACTGAAAAATATTTCTGTATTACATCGACAGAGTTGATTAACATCTTTGCAATGTGTAGTTGTATCGGCTTGTTAAATCCATGATTGATCACATTTAAATTTATCACTGTTTTTCTGACTAAACAGTAGAATCAGTGTGTTCACTTTGGAAGTCGTTGCTTACTACTTTAATGAATCATTACTAAAGGATTAAAAAAAAAATAGTAACAATGGATAGATGAGAAAACGATAATACTTTATTTTAATAATAAGAAATAACTTAATGTAGTTTAGCTTTAGTGTTGAAGATACAACAAAGCAGTCATTCATGGTACAAATAATTATTGACAATTTTAGTTCTGTATATACGTAGTAGTCAACTTCTACTCTGAATAAATATCAAATGATAGATTATAATGAAGCTTATTGACTTTCCCTCTTGGAAAAAACTATTTATATCTTAATAATCATACTATTTCATCAATTCTAATGAAGTAGCAAAAAATGAACGTTTACTGTTCAAAACGTGCACATTTTGTTGTTATTACATAGTCCAACGGTCAACTTACTTGGTATAACAACCATGTGAAGAAAAGTTATTAAACACTGATACTTTCGCTTCACTAACGACTGACTGCTTTACATGGGGAAGTTCATTTGACATATATTGTAACCACCAATAATAATAATTTAATGCTGTTAGTGTTCTAGACATGTCTGTATTCTGATTGATTTTAATTGCTTCATTATTGTCACTATTATCGTCAATAACATCCTCTTCATCAGCATCATCATTTTCATCATGATCAGGATCATCGACATCATCACAGTCATCATGATTTTTTTCCAGTATTGTTTCTTTCCTTTTGAAATCAGTTAAACGACGTTTCGAAGTGTCAGTGTATTTTTTCTCTGTATTAGTTTCATTATTGTTAGACTCATGCATTGTAGAACTTTCTGAATCCTAAAAGAGATACAATCACGTAGAAAATGTAAAAGAGACGTTCAGAACTCATTGTAATTGAGCTATATTGTTTAAGCCTAGGAAAACTGTTCTTTTATGATCACATAATATGTTTCTGATTATTTATTGCGTATAATTGTTTTACAACAAATCATTTGGAAAGGTTTAAAAATGGGTGAAAAAAAATTTGTGATCAAAGTATATTTCACAGATTGAAATCATGAGTCAATCGAAGCTAGACCACCATGGACTCATTGATTCCAATCTGTGAGATTTCTAAAATCTCCACAAAAACCCTTCTGATATCAAAGTATATTACCAACATTTTACCAAAAAAATACAATATAAACCGAGTTATTCCATTTTTTTTATTTGAGAGCTTCTCAAGATTTTCCATAACTATACAGAACCAACAAGAAGTCCAAGGAGTAAGTTTATTTATATTCATTAGCAAGGGCTACTTTCAGAAAGGATAAATATTTTTAGTGATTTACGTTAAAATCAATCCTCTTTAGAACTTGATCAACTAAAGGGAACAATCACTGAATTATGAAAAACATTTAGCTCCCTACTTTGTAATGTTATTGAGTCATTTAAACAATTAGTTATACCATAACTTGTTCGGCGTATACTGACTAACCTTCATAAAAAATCGCACAATTAAACACGACAAACTGGAGCACGATAGAACAGTATTTCTCTTACATTTAGTGGTTCATTTCAGTCAATAAAAAATCCTTTGTAGATCTGAGTTTGGTGCTCATTAGCACTCATCACCAAAACCCGTCTTAAATCCCAAGTGAATCGATGTTCTTTATGGGATAAAAATTAGCACCAAACAATTCAACAATCGTTCGGGACTTAATTCATCTTCAAAAGATCGAGATATTTTTTCAGTAATTAATAACTGAGTAATGACTAATGTCATATCCTTTAGCTCCTTGGAAATAGTTTTCACCAAATAATTCTATTTTAGAAAGCTTTTGGAAGTACAAATTAGTATAAGTAACTTGTTTTAAGTAATTTTTAGATAGCTGAAACAGTTAATCAACATATAACCAATTAGCTGTATAGCTTTTAACATTATAGATCATTTGTATTTGTATTAATCTTGTTTTTAATTAGATCAGTCTGTGGTGTGTGTTACTTTTATTGACTTAAGTAGTATATGATGTTAGTCGTGAACAGAAGGTCTGACAGCAGAGAGACAAGAGAGTCAAACAGTAAAGAATCGAAACAGAATGCGATTCGTATCAAAATGCAAGAACAATGAAGTCTGAGTCATTTTGAGACAATTTGTGGACATTTTGCAAATTAAGCATTTACTTAATGATTGTTAGATTTTATTAACAAGTCCTGTGATTTTGTGTTAAATACATTCGATTGTCAAATGAATGTTTGACTGTTCATCAAAAATATTTATGTCTTATACACAATGATGAAAAAGGATTGGAAATTGGGAAAATCAGTCATTGTATTAAGTTATGTATGACCATACCATAGATATTGAAAAAAAATCTAATTTAGTAGCTCTGTAAACGAAATGGATATTACGCAGAAAACTCACCATTTGTATTTGTTCTACTGAGAAATTTAGAATTGTTGGTTTATTTAATTTAATGTTTTTAAAATATCCTAATGAAGTGAAACCATTAGGACACAGAGATTCATCAAATGATTCCTCATCATTGTTGTAACAATCATTTGTAGATGTTGATGGTCTAGCATTTTGAACTGTTTCCTTGATTAATTCTTGTGAAAATAATGTTTGAACTGGTAGATTGGATTTATTACATTTTAAAGAATCCGATGTATTCATGTTCAATGAGGGGTAGGGATGATGCGAATGCTGATCAAAATGATCATTTACCTGGGGTTTAATTTGTGAATCAAAAGCATTTAATGTTGGTCCAGGTGAATCCATTGGGTGATAAACAGATTTCCAGGGATAATTCATCCCAGTGAACTGATTTAAAAAGTACTGCAGTTTTGAATCAAATAACTGTTGGTACTCTATTGACACGAATAAAGAAATTTCACACATCGTTAACTTATTATCATTTAGACTGAAGTAAAACTTTGAGATATAGAAAAAACTTGGCCGCTGTATGTCTTATTCTATCAAATTATTCAGCTGAAAGCAACGAGATATACACCAATCAACTATACTGTAATGTTTTGCAGTGACTAGATAAATTGCATATGAATTTAAAATTAATAAACACCTTGAATACAGGGAGAGCTCCCAAAGTGTTCATCTGGAGTAAATCAGAAGGAACAATAATCGTACGTTTTATACAGACGGGAATATAACTTGGCCAGTAATTATGTCTCTTCATAGTTTTTACTTGCAACACTTAAGTAATCATTAGTGGCGAATTGAGAATCATTTCAGCCCTTACTACCGAAATATCAGTTAACTCTTTCATTGTAATAAGAGTCTGACTACCTAATTTATATTAAAATCTGGACTATTTTATTTAACCTTATTATTAACATTACTGTTGAATAGTGGGTTATGGCAATATTCAAATAATCTAATTAATTATCAGTTGGTTCGAAAGACCTAGATTTAATGTTAGTTCGAATAGTTAGGGATATAAACGACTAATTTTGACCCTAAGTACTTGTTCATTTAAGCCAATATAGAATTTTATTGCATTTTTTAAGAAATAACCGGAAATTAGTACCTAGGATAATTATATTTTAACAATTGAATTCGTTAGTTGATTTAAGCTAGACCATAATGGAAAACCTGGAAGAACTGGACGGCCAGTTCGTCCTAAAATTTGACTCCTCGGGAGTGCGCATCCACGATTCCGCGAATGAGACTCGAACTCAGGGTCTATCGATCTCGCGCGCGAACACTTAACCTCTAGACCACTGAGCCGGCATCCAACGGTGTTAATGTCTAACTTCAACTAATCCACAAAATTGAACGACACATCCACTATTGTCTTCAGTGAATTACTATCTCACAACAGACACACACTGCTGGAGGAGTCCCACAGTAGGATAAATCGGCCATCCAGTTCTTCCAGGTTTTCCATGTCAATTAACTCATGAATTTGACCATAAAAAATAATCTACTTAATTTTCATTAACTCTTATATTTTTTGTCAGTAATATGTAGGAAACTATGAAATAAATAGCAAAATAATACCAAAAGTGTCATCCATCAAGGTATCTCATTAATACAGAAAATAATTAACAGAAGACTATAGCTATATCATTGTGTCAGGTGTTAAAATGCACATTCAAATGAGATATTATGTCTTAAACTTCAAATTTTGTAAATAAATTCTTCAAGGGATCCCTGTTATTCTTAGAAAAAACTTATATGAAATTTCATATGAAGAATTAGTTTTAACATTTCATTACTATTCACAAAGTAGTCTCTATCTAATTCTGCTCTCGTTAGATTAAAATTGCTATTCTCAAACCTAGAGTATAGAACAACTTAGCATATGAAATTTGATTTTATATTGAGGGGATGTGTATCAGAATAGTCAGTTACAAAATTAATAAAACCACTACTACATGTGATCTACCTGGTAAATATTCGGTCACTCTTATGTCCTAATTGAAATCAGTCTTCTCAAAGAAGCCTGACTGAAATATAGTGTTATACGATATTTCCATTACTATAATCGAAATAATTAGTTCTTAAACAACTTAATCATATTACAACTTACTCCAAATATCATATTAATGGGCCAGTTTGAGTTACATTTTATTTATTCATACACAATTCTTATTGTCTCACCCTAGTATACTCTTTAACGAGAATATAAATTACATGATTAGGAGTTTTATTTGATGCTTCACATTTAATATATTGAAAAACTTAACGTCATTTATGACTAAAACTTAGGTTATTATTATTACTATTATTATTATTATTCATGGCAATAATGCTTGGTTAAAGAGGAATCTTATTTCGCTTAAATAAGTACCATTTATTTCTGAAAATATAAAGAAACAATTGAATTTACTTAATGTCTGATCAGAATTTTCTATCGTTTTTGATTCGTTAAATGAATTCACTCCTTCTTCTTCCAAAAAAGTTTCAGTGGAAAGCCGATCAGAATGAGTCATTATATTGCTTGAAAAGATCCGTGGTAAATCAATAGATGGGAAGGCTGTGTTTTCTACACCGTCATAGATGGATTTTAACTCGGTCGATCCAGAAGAATTTTGTTCATGTTCTAATTTATTTTGGTGATTTGAAAGTGCATATTTCATAAAAGATGAATATACTGTTTCCAAGTGTTCAAAAACTTTTGCTTTCAATAGTTGAGGTAAAATCAATTCATATGAATTCATTAATGGATAAGCGGAAATATTATTTTGAGAGTTGGGCCATGAAGTTTGTTCGAGTTGAGACTGATTATTTCCACTGTTGTCATCATCGCTTGTACAACTACGTGATTGTTTGGGAGTGGATTCACCTGAATCATTGTTACGACATGTATGTGACTGACGGGATCCAAGTACAGATGACAGAACAGGTGTTTCAACTCCAGATAAACGTTTTGATGGACGTCCAGGTCTAGAACTTCAAAGTAGAGAAGCTTAATAAGATATTACAGAAATGAGAAAATGAAATTTTAATAATTGATCAGATTATCTTTTTCTACGCTCCAAATAATGTAAGGAAACTATCCAGAGTTATCACAATATAAATCTGAGCAAACAGTTAGGAATCTAGACAAAATTAATTGAATGTTAGATCACAAACCGTTAGATTTCACCGTAACGAACAAGTGATACAATATAAACAATGAGATTTGAAGGTCTTCTGTTCGACTCTAGACAACTTCTACGAATTCACACTTCTGAGAAGTTTCAAAGGAAAAAATAACTGTCACATGCTAACTGATCTCTAGTAATTCTTTAAGTGAAAATAGTTTTTGATAAATATCCCTTTTATAAAGAAGTTATTTAGGATAAGACGTATAAAACAGTTCTGTTGTTCTACAAGATACCACACATTATACAATAAGGATAACGACGTGTTAGTCTCATACATTAACGCATATACTGTCACATAAATTCTCAGTAAAAATAAAATAAGGTAGTCTATTTCTATAGTGATTTAGGTTATCCAACACTGATATGAAGGTAATGGGAGATAACACAAAGACTCTTTATATATATTGTTTTTATAATAAATATATCATTTGAAACCTGCAACAAATCTAGTTTATAATAAACTTACTCATGAACTTACAGGATTAGGTTATGAATATTCTAGTACCAGTATTAATCACTAATTTTCGAGTGTACTACAATTAATATCAAAAGGGGTTTTGTGGATATTATAGCAATTCTAATAGTTGAGATCATGAGCAAACTGAGGCTACTGCAATTATACACTTCTAGATAACTTGATTACGATAATTTTATCCAGTATTGTTAAACCTAATATTTCACATGAATAACTAATGAAGATGAATTACAGCAGCTGATCAATCATTCATTATCGAAATATTATGATGTTCGTCTAGTTGAATGTTTCATGACTTCAGTTACGTTTTAATATATATTAGTAATACATTAGGTATATGATTAATATTCCCATTGTAATTTATAAAAATATGTATATTGAAATCAAGAAGGTACAAGTATTTATAAATAGTTGTCTACGCAAGATACTCAATATCCATTGGCCGGATACCATCAGCAATAGCCTTCTATGGGAGAGAACAAAACAGCTTCCAGCTGAGGAGGAAATTAGGAAAATGCGATGGAAATGGATAGGACATACATTATGCAAATCATCAAAGTGAATCACCAGGCAAGCCCTAACATGGAATCCTGAAGGGAAGCGGAAAAGAGGAAGGCCAAAAACACATTACGTCGGGAAATAGAACCAGATTTGAAAAGGACGAATAACAACTAGAAAGAACTGGAAAGGATCGCTCAGGATACAGTTGGATGGAGAATGCTGGTGAGCGGCCTATCCTCCTTCACGAGGAGTAACAGGCGTAAATAAGTAAGTATATATTGAGATCAATTTCATTATAACAATTATTTATGTTGGTGTTTTATTCGTTGCTGTTTTAAATAAAATTCAGTCTGACTAATTGTTTATTGACAAAATACAACAAATATTTTTTTCAAAAATTTTAAAAAATTCTTTGTAGCTAAATGAATAACGTAATGGCGTTTGAAGCGAAAGTTACTGGAGTTGAGTCCCGGAATGAACATTAACTCTGAGATGCAGGCACATACAGCTGACTAGTCCCAAATAGGACGAAACACGCGTCCTGGATTCCACTGTTAGCCACTATCCATCTTTGCTTACAAAACTTGTGACTTAATGGTAATTTCAAGGCAGTTCTCATAGGGTGCACATATTCCAACAAAAGACTGATTAATTACAGTCCTAAACAACAATGGGAAGAGACAAGCAATAGAATACTAAATTCTTTATTTTCATATCAGATGGGTTTTTTGAGGATTGTAATAATTTCAATGGTTAAGATCATGAGTCAGTTGAAGGTAGACCACCATGGAAAACCTGGAAGTACTGGACGGCCGTTTCGTCCTATTGTGGGACTCCTCAGCAGTGAGCATCCACGACCTCGACCCCTGCGAGAATCGAACCCAGGACCTACTGGTTTCGCTCGTGAGCACTTAAACACTAGACCACTGAGCTGGCATCCAACGGTGTTAATGTCTAATTTCAACTAATCCACGAAATTGAGTGACTTATTCTTTATTTTAGTTAGCTATAATAGTTCATTAGGTAAATATTATGTCAGTAGGAAATTATTGATCAATAAAAAATTCTTATCGATGAGAATTAAGCTGATTACTTAATTTCTATTTCATTCATTTCTCTTTAGATAATTTTAACCTTCTATCATTTAACTTATTCCAACTTTTATATTCATATTTCTCTTCAACTATGACTATTCAATTATTGTTTGTTTTTATTATTATTATTATTAAATTATTAAACAATTGACAATTACAACATTTCATTCCTTCACGTCAACTTATTTCATTTTGTTCTCGATTTCATTGTATTCAATTATCATATCCATACACCTTTTATTTACTTACTCACTCTTTCTTGTTTTATCATTCTAATTTTCCCATGGAAAAGTCAAATTTCCTAATGTCCATCTTCAATATATATATATAGATATATATGATCAAAACTAAACTATGTTATTTATCACTGATATTCTCTTCTTCAAACTTATATAAATGTATTCATCAATTGAAAACAAACAAGGATACAAGTTTATAAATAGATGATAGGGAAACAACAATAATAAAATGTATAATAAAGGATTCTTTTTCATATATATCTTCTCTCTGTTAATAGGTATAACATTAGTTTTTCGTTTTGCCTAACAAAAACAGTTAAATCCTGTCAAAAAAAAGACAACAAAATTATATTCACATTTCATGCCATAAAATACGAATTTTCTTTTTTTTTTTCTACTTTTTTTTCCCAATTTTTACTTCTGAAGATAAAATAAATAAACAAATGAATGAAACTGTGGAGTAAAAACTTCGTTAATTTTATCTATTCAACTTATCCGTTTATTTACTTTACTTATTTGTAAACGCATAAAGATTACCTAATACACACACATATATATATACATACATACACACACATACATACATACACACATGGATACAAACGTAATAGTATGAAACAGCTGATGAAATTCTCATCCATTTTGTAAATATTAATCTTTTCTTTTATTATTATTTTTTTTCAAATATATATTATCTATGAAATAAAAATCATTATTTATTCTATATGGTTACAGATTGAATAGGATGCATTTTTAAAAGAAAAATAATAATAATAATAAATTAACGGTTTAATAAGTGATGAATAATTAAACTATTGTGATAGTTTAATTTTTCCATCGTAACGAGTGGCATAAATAGAGATAGCGTCAATTAAATGTTTCCATCGGACTGAGTATGTGTGTGTGTGTGAGAGAGAGAGAGAGACAGCACCAACTAAATGTTTTTTAAACATTGTTAACGTTGATTGGATGACTTATTCAGTATACAGTAAACTAGAGAAACATGTACTTATTTACATTTGATAATTTTGTTGTTTAATTATATTTTCCTTGAAAAAGGTTGAACCAGATCGCTGAGATTTTACAAATAAATTCTTCCTATTTAATGTCTCACATTAACTCGGCGCCCAAATATTGTGAAACTGTTCGTTCAAATTTAGATGAAAGTTCTTATTTACAAATGTTTTTTTTATCTTTTAAAACGTACAAGTAAAATGAACCATTTTATACAGATATTTTAATAATTACATAATATTTAAGTATGAGTTCCACAACTGATTGACGCCTAAATAAACATGATCAATTGTAAACATCACAGTTCTATAGAAGGTCAGTCATGTTCTTAACAGATCAGTGGTATTATTTAGAAGTTAGGTGGCGATGATTTAAATTTCATATGAAATATCAGTTCCTTGAAGTTTACAGGTACGCCTTACTGATGGATGCTAACTAGCACAAAACATAAATCCAAGATTTCCTATCCATCAGCTTCATTCATCTAACATCTTAACGAAGTGAACGTTTTACTCATCAGTCATTGATAGAGAAATGAAAATGTTTAAAATACAGTTAATTATATCCCTCGTTTACTAGATAATACTAAGCATATTAGTATATTTGTGGTTCAATTAATTTTTACTAGGGTTATTCTCAATAAATATAAGATTTAGTGTGAGAACCATTTTTATAATTAGATAGTGGTTGGAGTTAGTCAACTTGAAACCCTGGACACGAGTTTCAAGTCACCTAGTTTTTTTCTCTGTATGCAAAATTACACATAAAACGGGCTGCATAATTATTAATTATAATTGTTTACAAAGAAGGAACGAATCGAACGAGGGAATTCCTTTTCAATTACTTTTTCATTATGGTTCTACACTAATATATATAATGAATACAATGATGAAATAATACTCATCGAGTAGATACGTTGTGTCATCGTGTAACAGAACACCATCCGTCGTAGTTTAGCAAAGGACATGTAAGGAAGTTTAAGAGTTCTATTCTCGCTCACTTGGTGGACACGGATCATCAAACTGAACTGAATAAAGCTTTAAAGGTTATCTATTATATTCCACCAAATTTGCCACCTGGTTTACAACTGCGTCTTTCGCACATTGTTTAAGCCATTCCAATCCATGTTTACAAACTTAACCTTTGCATCCAAAACAAGTTTATACAACCACTTCCGCTACCTTGGCATCGGTATACGGGAGTTTGTAGCAGAACATTGATAAAATATTTTCGCATTTCTTCCATTTTTTTGTATTTTACTTATTCTCAACATTCGTCTTTTGTTGCTTATACAACTACTAAGCTGCTAACCATCCATCAAAATATTTTGTTAGTTCCTTATTCTCTTCTTATACATTATACAACGTGGCAAATTCTTGATTTTCGAATAATCACTTTGTTTATTGTTATTAATCCTCTTTCTTCCAATAACTCAATGTTAGTTTATAATTGATGTGTCATTATATAATTACTACGTAAC